TTTTCTTCTCCATTTAAGGAAAAGCAGTTGAAAGGTCAGACTCTGCTTTCATTTTAGACAGCTGCCGTGCTCCTTTGGAGTCTAATGGAAATAGAACCAGATCAGCATCTTCTACAGAATCAAAAACTTGGGAAGGTTGGCCTATCTTTAAAATTTCCAATTAATTAAATATTATATTCAATAAAATATTCAGTATATGTTAAGTGAATGCACTAAGTGCTGGGTTACAGCACTTCCAGATGGTTAAGCAGCATAATAGATGGGGCATCTATCTAGTCTCTGTTTTCTGCCATCACAGATTTAAAAAAAAAAAAAAAAAGAGAGAGAGAGAAACAAGTTGATGTTTTATGGAAACAGAAAAGTAGTGCATCATCCAGTTGCCTTATTTAATATAGTTCCTGCTGTGTTAATTCCTCTCTAAGCCTTTCTTTAAGCACAACTGATTATGTCTAATTTGCGACAGGTTAGGTTCCAACTAAACGCTCCATGATCCTACATGCTTCAAAAAGCTTTTGATTTAATGCAACTTTGCTAATCTAATAAAAGGTATGGCTAATTATGCCTGCCTTTCAGATTAGTGTTGCCAATTTTGGCTAATTTATGTCTATTACTGTCTTTCCTATCTTTAATGCTTCCGTGTAAAGTTGAATTAGTAAAAGAAGGATAAGGTGCGTGTAGTCCAGTGGATTTCTGATTCCTAGCAAGGGATTTTGATTATAATATTCTCTAATGACCTTAAGAAAGGAATAGATGATGCGTCTTCCTATTGTGAGTTGGTACATCTTTATATAGATGCCCAGAAGCATTACAAAGTTGATTTCTTATACAAGAATTTTTAAAGTTTTATAAAATTTTAAATTAAAAAATCTAGAAGAAGTATTTGAAAGAGCTGGCTGGCATCTGTCCAACATTTCCCCCCCCGATTCTTTTATTTGTTTTGATTTTTTGATTGATTTATACCTTGATTGAATGGATAAGATTTTCACTTTAGGGACCAGTATTTTTGTGAGGGAACAAAAAATGGTTCTGACTGGAATGCTGAAAACTAAACTTTTTCTTTATTAACAGAGTGTCAATTTCTTTTCGCCTTATACTTTTCCAGTTCTTTCAAAGCTATTCTCGTGGTTTCCAGTTAAAAATAGCTGATTGGATTTTTCCTATTAGTAACCCAGCATATAGACTAATTTATAACCTAGAAACAAGGTTTACAGGATGAGAGGCAGTGGGTGCAAACTGAAACACAGGAAATTCCATCTGGACAGAAGAAAACACTTTTCCACTGTGAGAGTGGTTGCACACTGGAACAAGCTGCCCACAGTGGTTATGGCTTTCTCCATTCTTGGAGGCAGTCAAAACCCGACTGAACATGGTCCTGGGCAACCTGCTTTAGGTGACCCTGCTTGAGTAGGGAGGGTTGGACCAGATGATCTCCAAAGGTCCCTTCCAACCCCAGCTATTTTATAATTTTGTGTGCAAAATCCAATTTCATTACCTATAAAATATATGTATAAAATGTGTAATGAAGACGAGGCGATGGAAACTTCCATTTTGTCCTTCTGATGCAGTCATGCTGCCTCCCTATCTTGAAGTACTTGCTTCCAGTACAGGAGAAAAGTATGTTTTGGTGTGTTGCTAGTTCAGTTGTTCTCCTTTTTTGGTGTTCCTGACAGCAGTGGATGATGAGATGCTTTGTTTGCTAATAGGCAGAAACCATTGAATTTTATTCCGGCATATGATTGGTGGCAGCAGTTCTCTTATAACTTTTGAGATTCTTTTCTTTACCTAGAAGCAACCTTTGTTGTTGTTGTTGTTGTTTTTTTTCCCCTCCCTCCCCTCTGCCTGGGGGTAAATAGAGCAGTTTTATTATAAGCTGGTATCACTGCTGTTACTAAGGCTGTATAACGTTTCCCATTTTATGACGCCATATTAAGTTGATAATTACACTGCCAGATTTAGCTTATATATAAACAGGGGCATTTCCTCACACATGCCTGTGGAAGATGTCATGCATTACATGCGTTGCAGTGCCTCCATTGGGTGATTACTGTTCTGTAGTCAGGAGCCAAATACGGACCCCTGACTGTTAAGCAAAGCCACAGGAACTAATCCAGTACTATGCCTGGGGCAGCTCAATCCAGGAGAGCAGAGTCGGTGGTTGAAGAAACCACCTGCAGCGAGCTCTGCTGCCTGCACCTCCAGCAGCTGCTCCCCTGTGCAGCAGGGAGAGCTGCTGTTGCACCTCCTCCCCATCCAGGCAAGCTCAACTCGACCCCTGCCCTCTGGCTCTGCTCTTGGACCACTTTCAGAACTGGCTCATAATTCTTTTTTTCTTTTTCTTTTCCTGTAGACTTTGCTCTGACGTGTCTAGTTGTAGCTCTTGAAAACGCGTCTCGTTCCTCATCCAGCCTGTGCACCAAAAACTCTCCTATTCAGAAACTAGAGAGAAAGTAAGATGTCCACTTCAGTCCAATAGATGGCTTAGCTTCAGTTTAGAAACAATTGCATTTCAAGCTACTTAACATCATCTAATGTTTTTACTTTTTAGGTGCAAGGACTGACAATGGCACTGAATAAGTGCTACCTTCAAGCCTCCTTCCTGTAAATAATAGGACCAAACAAGGCGGTGTGATGAACATGCCACTGCATCAGATCTCTGTCATTCCAGCTCAGGATGTTACCTCTTCCAGAGTCTCCAGGAGCAAGACCAAAGAAAAAGAGGAACAGGTAATATTAGACTTTCACAGAAAGCTAGCTGAGTATAAAATGGTGGGGTTATCAAGTGAGGCCTAATTCTGATTCAAAGCCCTCACTCCTTGCATGATTGCTGCTTTTAGGGAAAATAAACGTTACCCTCTCATCTCTTCATTCTCATATTTGCATTTTAAAGCAGCTGGCTGCAAAATACTAGAAATTTGTGGAGTAACTTCAGCAAAATACAAGTTACAACCTTCCATTTCGCATGAGAATTCAAGGCGGATGGGGATTTAGTATGGTGGGTCCTTGTTATGGGTTCCACGACAATGGTACAGGTGTTCTTTTTTTACTTTTTTAAAAGAGAAAAATAGTATGGGGTGTGAACCCCTGTATGCAGCCAGGCATCTTGATTTCCTTTGCTCTTGACAGCATCTCGTAGCCATGTGAGGATACTGGAGTATCACAAGGAGGGAAATATACACCTATATGTGTATTTACTGTACTGTTTCTTGGAGGCTGTGACTGTGTTTTCAGCTTGGGAGGATATGTATGAATGGAATTGTTTTGAGTTCTTGTGATTGTGTTAATGAGAAACAGAATGCAAAAATATCTGAAGTATCTAATGTTTCTAAGTCTAATAGAATCTAATTAATGGCCTAGATACAATATGCTATTAAAAAATTGTTGTCTGGACTTCACCTGTAATAACCTTATTAGCCCTTGGACTGTGTCTCTGATCAAGCTAAAGATCTTAGTATGCATCTTGCTTTGGTGTGCACTGTATTGCACTGAATTTTACATTATCTGTCAGTTCTACAGCAACCTCTGTATGGTTTTTAAGCTTTACTCTGACATGAAAACAAGTCAAGAGAGCATTCACATTATGGAATAACTGCAGGGATCAGAGTTATTTTGTGGACTAGAAAGAAATATTCAATAGTGGTTACATTCTGAGGAGATCTAGAGTGATACTGGTTACAGATGGGGCTAGCTTAAGTATAAGGAACTAGAAAGGCGCTATCGTGTTACAGAAAACGATTCAATAAGAGTAATTTTTGGGTAGGATAAAGGAAGTTGCTTCTGATGTGTTAAGATCTGCCCGGACTGCCCTTTTCACCTGTGAGCTATACAAATTGCACCCACAAAAGCCAATGGTGAGACAGTAAAAAATAATTTTCCCATGGTCTGTATGTGTGTGCGTTTTTTGTTGTTGATTTTGGGGTTTTTTAATAATCTAGTCCTTAGTAACAACTTAAAGTGGATTTAGCCCTTTAGTATCTTAAACCAGTAAATACCTCGGTTCCTGAATCCAGGTAGGCTGGCATGGCTCTGCTTTTGGTTACAAGGACTAGGCAAGAAGTTGTCTTTGCAGTCGAGCTGCTTTAAATCGCTGAAACATCTTGTCTCAGGAGTCTACTGGAATGTCTCGTTTCCTGTCTATCGCATGCATTTCTTTCATTTTGGTCTGTGAATGTGTTGGACAGGTCCCTAAGAGGGCTCTTTTTGTTTCTTCCTTTCAGCCCCCTCCCCTGTAGAAGCTGTCCATTCTAGGTAGCAATACCAGCACCTCCAGCCAAGCAGGAACATGCTGACAGGGATTGAAACAGCCCCTCAGCCAAATGAATGGTAATTCGGGGAACTGACTGCCCTCTGGGGAGGGGGTGGTGGTCATGCGAATTAGGAGGCCAGTCGGATTAAAACAGTTTGTGGTAACTGTTTTGTCATTCAGTGAGCCCTGGAGCGAGAGTCCCCACTCTGTTTCTAAACCTCTTCTTCCTTTCTGACAGTGTACACTGAAACTTCAATAGACTGGTGATAACCAGTCTAAGTGTTGATTACTTTAAGAAATGTCCCCTATGCTTTCTTAGTGATAACCAGTCTAAGTGTTGATTACTGTTTTCCTCCTCCAGACTGCTGTTGTACTTTCATGTTTTGGGACCTTTGAGACAGAACAGAATATTACAGTCAGGGCTGGAAAAACTGTTTCTTTAAATATGGCTTCTGTGAAATACTGCTGAGAAAGTAATGAGGCCTGGGGCTATGCAACAATAAATGAGACTAGCCTGGAATCACTTCATGTTTCCAAAATCTTGTCCTTCCTGTCTCCATCAGCATGTTCATCCATCCCTCAAGTCTCCTGTATTCTGCAAAAACCACTGTTGGAAGACGAGGTGAGCTGCCTGCCGTCCTTGGTATGCAGCTGTACTGACATTGCGGCTGCTCATGTGCATGTAGGGCCGTGGTCTTATGCCCTTGTGTGCTCTTCCCACCCCCTGCAAACTATGTTGCTTCTGGTGTTAACCTTTAATGCTGGATCTAATGAATGAGCTGGATGGCAGTCACATTGTTGTTAGTGTGCTGTCTTTGACAATCCAGTTACGTTTTCGTATTGCATCAGTTAGGACATTCAAGGCCGCTTACCGCTTGGAGTCCCTGTTGGCTCTTGGGTATAATCAGGACCCGCTAGCCATGACTGTAATTTTTGCTGATGTTTAAAGTGTATCGTAAAGGGGAGATAGGATGCAAGGGAAAGAAACTGTAGACCATAGCTGCTGTTTCTTAATCACTTCAAAATGCCGGTGTTCTGTTTGAGGTAGAAACCAATGCAAGATAAACAGTAGTGTACGCCGTTGGTATGATCTTGTATTGAGCAAATCTTGTATTGAGCAAATCTGTGGAGCAGTTGTAGATGATTCTTATGCCCTGGGTAATATCTGTCGTACAAGAGGAGGACACTATGTGAAACTGGGAAAGAAGGCGTTTGTACTTCACTTTTGCTTTGTGGGCTTAGCTTGGTGTGTCTGTAATGGTAACTGAACGACCGTGATTACAGAATTTACATCTTGCAGCAGCTAAACTGAGGCCAAACTTCCTCTCTTTGGGTTCTGTATGTCTAATCGGATGACATCCAAACTACCATATCGTGCATGTCCTGCGCTTCAGGAGGTTGGTTATCTGCGTCTGATAACTACTTACTTGCTTGACCTGAGAAAGAATCACACAGAATCACAGAATTGTTTAGGTTGGAAGGGACCTCTGGAGATCATCTAGTCCAACCTCCCTGCTCCAGCAGGGTCACCTAGAGCATATTGCCCAGGATCACATCCAGACGGGTTTTGAATATCTCCAGGGAAGGAGACTCCACTACCTCTCTGGGCAACTTGTTCCAATGCTCAGACAAGGGCAAAGCTTTCCCTTCTATAGCACATCTTACAGTTTTTTCTCCTTGTTGTGGGTGATCTGGACACAGTTCTCACATGGATTTCTACAAACACATATAATAAATTTTCAGGAGCAAGTGGAGCATTTTGCATAGGTTGGTTCAAATGCCTCAATTTCTGTAGTATTTAATACTCTTTACCTTTTCTATGTAGGAGTAACAGTAGGCACCTCAAAAAAAAGAGCGCTGTGCTCTTAAAGTTTTGAGTTGTGCAAAGCCACTTGCCAATCTGAACAAAATCAAACAAACCCCAAATCACAACCCAAACCAGTATTATTATTTCACAGATAAAATACGTAGGTTTATGTAACATGCCAGGCCATGTTCCTGTAGCAAGTGCACTGTCAGGTATGTGTTTTGTGGATTGAGCAGACTTGTTTACTACCCAGCTCTGGCTAAAGCCAAGGTGAATAAAGGTAGTGTCAGCAAGCAGGTCAATGTTTGGCTTGCTTTAGTTCATGTTTTGTGTTCTTTTCCTTTGGGAATTTGCTATTTCAGACTAGACCACTGGCTTTGTCTGTGCATCCTGCATCTTAACAAGTTCTTCAGAGGAAAGGCTTAACGTGCGCTGCAGCAGAAAATGAAGTACCAGTATGCTTAGAGAGGGAACTTTGCGAACCTGTGAAAAATTAGTGTTTGGCTTATCCCCAGAAGGAAGATTGCTTTATATCCTGCTCTCCTATCTTTTGTGATTATGGATGTGTTTAATTATCCACCTTTGTAGTAGAGGTGCAGAGGAAAATTTCTCAAGCTGAACAGTGTCTTTTACTGTTTCTTCTCTTTCATGCTTCTGGTCAAGATGTGGCTTTCTTATTTCAGCATAGGGCTTGACTGATTTTTTAGTAGTAGTTTTCCCTTGCTACAAGGGTGAGTTTTCTGGGCTAATGATTTGGGACTGGTAATGAAGAACAAAGTGAAATCCTTACCACCATTTTATCATTATAAGACAAATTTTCCAACTCAATATGTAGTCCCTGGGCATGTCTCATGGTGGATTAAAATTTGGATTCAAGGCCCGTGGAAATGTGTGGCAAACATCCCGCTGAGTTTGAGAGGTAGGCAGGAGCTTGGCCTTTTAATCACCATTTTTGTGTTAAGTTGCTGATATGTGTTAATAAGTATTAATAGTTTATAGTGGAATCTGGTAGCTTCTGACTCAGGTTAATGTAATTTTAAAGATTTAAATTAATTGAAAACTTTTGTTAACAACAGTCTTTTCCTAAACTTTGCCCATTTTTCACAGTAAAAATGGGGAAGGTCATAAAGGGATTACTGCTCTTGCATTTAACTTAGATGAACTGTTAGCTTTAAGGGCTATTAATAACCATTGTTAGCTTCTTACTGATCCTTCACTAGGAATAGCTTCATGCTTACCTGACTTAAGGGAGAGTCATGATATTGTTTGGGAGGTGCTACAAACCCCACCCCTCTTTGGTGGGGGTAACGCATTGTGCTGACAGCAACGTTTTCTAACATACCCAGAAGCTTACAGCTCTCTGGATTTGGCATGGAAATAAGGAATGGGTGCTGACATGTATTTTGTGATAGAGCATTGCTGCTTTGGGGGTTTTGTGCCTCGTTTGCTGAAGCAGACTGTGTACCACCAGTTCTTTCTAAAAGTTACTATAATAAATGAAGCTCCCCAAGTACAAGTTATTGCACTGCTCCTCTAAAAACGTGTGAGTAACTTCACAGCTGTTGTCTCCTGTGCTATGATCTCTGCAGATCTCATAAGCAGATCAGGAACAGACAAGATCAGCATTTGAAAGGGAGATCATGAGGTGGTGGCCCAAATCATATGGGTTACAGG